CCCCAGCATCAGGCACGGGTGGAAGCTGTTTGTCTCTGCTGGCTGTAGCAGTGAGGGAAGGAGAGCTCCTGTTTCTCCTGGTGAGCATCATTCCTCAGGCTGCAAGAAAGCCACGGCACCACTGGGAAGGGCACCCCCTCCGTGCTGCTTCCAGCTCATCTATGAACTCATCTGGGCACCAGTGACAGCACCATGGTCATTCCATGACCACATCCAACTTCCTTTGAAAGCAGCTGGAAAGGACTCCCTGTGATTCAAAGGGAATGAGCTTCCCTCCTCAGCGTGCTTGGAGAAACCCCATGCTCCTCTCTTCGGTGGCATTTTCATTTTCTGGAGGCTTTGAAACCATCACTTCTTTGTTTCCCCATGTTTTCCATAGATCCTTATCATCACTTGTTTGGATCATGGTGGTGTCTCAGGATTAAAGCTGGTTGGGAAATTCTTGGCAAGTTATTTTAGTTTCTTTTTTTTCCCTGGAAAATGCCAAATCATGAAAACCAGAGTTTTCATGGAAGCGTGTCAGTTTTGGTGAAACTTTCATCACAGAAAGTTCAATGGGAACCAGGACATGAACCAGAGTGAGCATTTCAGAGCAGTCCCAATCCCCACGGCCAGGGTTTTCCTCTGGGACGTGGGAACACAGCTGTGGTCCTGCTTCTTCTCCCTGCCCCACTGGATGTTGATTACTGGGACACAGTGGAACGGCTCCAGAGAAGGAACCAGAGTGTGAGGACACAAGGGGGAGGGAATATTTCAAGGTCTGGATCTGCATCCCTACGCCCAGCCCCATCTGGGACAGACACTCCAAGTCCATCCCTCCAGCTTAGCCTGTTTGCCAGGCCTTGTCTGGCTTAGGATAAACATCTCCATCAGTGGGACTTCCTCGTGTTTCCCAAGGAGGTTGTTTTATAGCACTTATCTCGCTGCCTACAAGTTTTCCTTCATACTTGACCTACATTTTTCCATCCAAAAGTTCACTCCCTTCAATCACTCCAGACACCATCCCTCTCCCTCCTCTCTGTTTACACATTTCTAATATTTGCAGACGTATCACGCTCCCCGTTAGTCATGACTCAGGCTGATTTACTCACGGCATTTCCTGCCCGTCTCCCTGCCAGCTCCGACTCTCTCCCACGCTGCTTCCCAGATCCCAGTCACAACCACAGCTCCCACCTGGGCACACGTGCAGCCTGGGAAGGAGGGATGCCACACTGGGTTCTCCAGCAGAGGACTGTGGGCGTCACTGGGGCTGTCCCAGCTCCGGATTTGGGCTGCAGTGACCCGCAGGTGGAAAGGGCAGCTGGAAGAGGAGATTCCCAGAGCTTGGCACGAAGGAGCTCGGGCTCATCCCGCTCTCCTGTGGAAACACAGCTTGCACAAGCGGACCCTGCGTGGATCTGCACGTTTTCCATACAAAATGATTGTGCTGATTCCCATCAGGGAAGTCTGGCAGAGGGTTGGGGTCACAGGCAAGGATATTCCCAGGAATTTAATGGAAATACAGAGAGAGAGGCTGCAAGGAGCTCTCATCCAGAAACTACTTGCCTTTCCCCTTTCATTTCCAGGGTACCTGCCTGCCCAGAGGGAAGCACCGGAGCCCTGGTCCCAGTCAGCCCTTGCCATGCTGGGCTGTGGATCCTCTGGATGCTGCAGCAGGAATTCCCACAGCTCTGCAGGATGGAAACTGCTCACAGAGACAGCAAAGACCTGCTGGACCAACAGCCTGTGCAGCTCCACTGGGATCACACTGATGTGGGCAGATCTCCATCCATCCCCTATGGATTCTTCAGGAAGCGGGCTGGGTTGCAATCAAGTGTTCCTTCCATCTCTTCTGGTTTTGCTTTTGGCAGATCTCCAGCCTGGCCAAGTAAATATAAGTAACCTGAACTCCAAATAGCTCCATTTTGGTGCCCTCTTCCTGCATTTTTAGCTCAGAGGACTGGCTGGATGGCTCTGAGAAAGCACACGGAGTTTTGCTGCCCAGGAAAGGAGCCAAGATCAGACACCCAATTTATAAGGGAGGAAGAGAAGGAAGAAAAGGAGGAGAAGGAGGAGGAGGAGGAGGAGGAGGAGGACAGGCTATTTGTCTGCACCAGAATTCTGCAGGTGGGATGAAATACCCCATCATAAAAGACATTAAAAAGAAACAACATGAACTGGATTTCCAATAGTTAATTAAGCTACTTGTCTCCTTGCACTTCCAGCGGGATCTGGAAGCAGCAGTCAGAGGAATGCTCCTTTCACAAGGAATTCTGTGCCAAGTGGAGCTCCTCCCTGCTTGCCCTCTTCCCCCTGCCTCCTGTCAGTACCAGGATAGCATTCCCCACCAAACAGCTTTCTGTGCCCTTATTATGCCTGCACAAAATAATATACTAATTTTTAAAGTAATTTGGCCACTTCAGGGCCAGTCTAGTTGCTGCCAATATGTTTCAAAACCTGGCATTGCCTGTTGAACCATCCCAGGTAAATTTTGGGACAACAAAGGAGCAGGGATGGAGCAGCACCCTCGGGATGCAACACCTTTGCAGAGGATGCAGTGCTTGGGATAGTGTGGATGCTCACTGGGAACACCAGCTGCAATTAACACAACAAACTGTTGTTTTCCCATATGAGCAGGAATGAATGCTTGGGAAGTTTCCCCAAGGAAAACCCTGCTAATGGCCCAGTGGTAACAAACCCTTCTCCTTAATTAGAGGCAGGGGCTGGGGCAGCATTCCCAGCCCAAATTCCACTTCTCTGGGAGGGTGATTTGCAGACTGGAGTGGGAGGAGGACAGAGAGGGAAGCAGGGAGCTCTCGCCTACAAAATGACCCTGGAAGGAGACCTGGGAGAGTGCCCGGGCCAGAGGCTTTGGATCACTCTGGAAGCTGGGCTCTTCCATCATGACTCTCCTTCCTTTTCCTCTTTGAGGACACTCTCAGACCTCGCTCACTCATTCCCAGGTTCCAGGTGGGATAAGAGGAGAAATCCCTGCCTGTCCCTGCCAGACCACCAGCTGGGAGCAGCCCCCTCCCTTCCCAGAGCAGTTCCTGGGACTCACATTTCCATCCTGGCCTGAGATGAGCATCTGGAGTGGCTGTGCCTCATTAATCTTGGACACAGGGAAATGAGTCCTGCTAATGAGCCGCTCGGGCAGCTCTCCAAGCTCTGGCACATCAGGATGCAGCGCGGGAAGCAGGACAGGCTCGGGGGGAAAGAAGAGCCCCCTTGGATGGCAGAGGATTAAGGGAATGCTGAGGTCCAGGGCTGGCCAGGAGGAGTCACAAACACAAGCTGCAATGTCCAATTACCACTGTATTCAATTACTGCCGCCTGCAACTCGGGCACGAACAATGTGCAGCTTTAAAACAGCTTTTTTTTCTTCATTTTTTTTTTTAATTCTCCTTGCTATGGGCTGTTCCATCATGATCTTAGGAACAGCTGGATTTTTGGTAACTTCTTTGATAGTTCTGGAGCTGTGTTATCCCTGCCTT